GTTGCAGCTTCATAGTTATTATTTTCAAGAAACCAAATTTGTTGAATAGACCCTTCGAGTCCATTGATTGATCCCTTAATCTTAGCGATTGGATTACCACGAGTTTGAATTCCACCAACTACTTGAATATTTGCATTTGATCTACAGGGTATAGGTGTTTCTTTCAGCCCATGGACTGGCTCATTCCCTTCTTCTTTCCCCTAAAATTGCCTTTGTTCCAAAAAAAAAAAAAATATATATTATAATGCAAAAGATTATGTTCCAATGGCATCATCTCTAGTGAACATCCATGCTACATGGAAAATTTTGGACATCTCATCCTCCTTGTCGCTCAATCTGTACAACAACCGGCCTTCAACAAATCGACAGCAGGGACTAAATCTAAAGCCTTGAAATTCTAGGGATTTCCTATAGCAGGCAAATACTCAGTGCATGGGAAGGCATGCAATAATGCACTCAGCACATTGCCCTTGAGGAATGCTCCCAGAGATAGAAGCAAACTTGTTTTAGGTGCTGCATAGGACCAGCTACATTTTTGAGGGAGTGTTGCCGGATAGTAATAGCACTGCACCGTCTATTGCTCATCTCCAAACTAGGTTTCCGCCTCTAGGTAGAGCCTTGGAACCACTCACAGAATGAGAAGGTGTTCCAGATCCGTAAGGCAAACTATTATTTGGAGGTGGGATTTGTCCGTGTGCCATAGTGGCAACTCTGTCTTGCGCATCATGGGTAGCACCCGTGGAAGCATCATATCCAGGTCATCCTTGTGAATCATATATAGCTGGGTCCTCTTTGTGGATAATAGCTCGTTGCCATTGCTGCATCAAAACCAAGTCCTTTTGATGGCTCATAAGCAGGCCCTGTAAGTACCTCGTAGCCAGCCCTTGCAGGACCAGGACCAGAGCCAGACTGAGCTCCAACATAAGCAGCAGTTCCAACAGCAACAACAGGAAGAGAACCATGCCCCTATGAAATAAAATGTTAAGGGGCATAATTAGCCTTCAACATCCACTATACAGTGCAACAACCACGGCTTTTTCAATTGAACATTTGCAACCACAAACCAAAACAAAGACAAAATATTGGTATCTTTTACATGTATATGAGTTTTCAAAATTCAAATACTAAATGTTTCAGATTTTTCCATTCTGGTATGAATTGAAAAAGAAAATTCTAGCATGATACTTCCCAGATTGCTCTTTAGATATGGTACTCCCTTTCATCCCATCAACTATCTATGTAAGACACTAATACATATAATCATGAATTTCAAATTAATCAATGATTTAGCAACCCCCAGCCTGGAAGATACAGACCTGGTGAACACCATAGCCTTCTTCAAAGGGAACATGTCCCATAGCATGCCCAGGTGCCTCATTCTCATTGTTTCCTGTGGTACACCATAAAGTGGACTTGGTTGCCATAAAGGTAATCCATGATATATTCAGGAAACATATGGAATCCAAGAGCGCCAAAAGTAAAACAGTAAGGAGGAATAAATACCAGCCACACTAGAAGCATTTGCCAACTCTGCTCCAAGCTTCTCCAATTCCCTAACCATTGTCATATAGTTATTCTCCATCACTTGAAGTGATTCAAGGTGATTATTGTAAAATTTCTTCTCACAATCAAAAGTTGCCCTGCATGAACAGAAAAGTAGGTTGTCACGTTATCATAAAGAGGCAGCTTTTGAGAAAGAGGACACATGAGGTACACTTGTGATAACTACAAATGCTACAGTTTAAAACTAGTTTAAGATTAATTTCCAGTTTAATACCAGCCACTTTTACATTAATTTTTCTCAGCTTTGCTTCCAAACACCCAGAGACAAGAGTACAACAAAAACCTGCAATGGTGATATTCCTGTCTGAGGCTCTCCAGTTCTGACATCAAAGCTGGTATCTGTTGAACACCAACATGGACCCTCTGAAGATCCAGATTCAATTGATGAATTTTAGACATAAGTTCATCCCTTGCTAAAACCACGTTCTGAGCTTCAGCATGAGCCTGCCGCAACTCTAACTTAACAGGCTCAGCTGCTTTCAGGTCAGCTTCCATCTTGGCAATTGCATCCTTAAGGCTCATCATCTGTTGCTCTTTTTCAGCGTTAACTGCTCCAATTTGAGCACGTAAAATCTGCAACCCATGTTGTGCAGCAGCAAGTTCTTGTCTCAAGGTCCCATGGGTGGCAGCAAGCCTCTGGTTCTCAGTAGCTAGTCTCTGCATTTCCACATGTTGTGCAGCAAGCTTTTGCTCCATAATTTCTGGGGGAGGCAACATGTTAAGATGAGGAAACGGACCTGGTGTGGAGTGTATTCCAGGACCAAATGGATCAGGATGGACCATGCCAGGACCTGGGGGAGGTCGGCTCAGATGAGGAAGTGGGACTCGGTCCTGGCTTCCCATCTAAATGGCCGTGGCTAGGGATGACCAAACAAAGAAATGTAACCTAAGACAGCACAGGAGAGACGTTCCACTGAGATTCAGTTTGCAAAAGAATGAACAAATCAAAGGTATCAAGTTGATGTTGTCTTGGCTTACCTGACCGGAGAAAAAGGCCTCAAGATTATCGCCGGTGAATTAAATGGGTACAACGGGAAACTACAACAGTACGGAGGAGCAGGCAGGAGGGACAGATATTGAAGGAAACGAACTGGAGCTGATGCTGAAGAAGAAAGAATAAAAAAAAAAAATCTAAAAGGAAAATAGAACGACGTCGTTTGCTTCTTCCTCTCTTCATCTTTAACCTCCGAACTATCAAATTTAGTCCTCGAATTTTGACGCTTTTTTCTATTAGGTTAAAATACTAATTTTGTCCTTTAACTTTTAATTTATATTAAAATTCTTCCTTAACTTCAAAAAGCACTAAAATTTTTCTTAAATTTTAGTTTCTAGTACCAAAATAGCCCTTAAACTTTGAAAATAATACTAATTTAATCTTTAAAATTTGAAAACAAATATCCATTTAGTCCATAAACTTTGATTATAAATATTAATTTGGTTTTTTAATTTTGATTATATATCAATCTGATATGTAAATAAAAATGTACAATAATAGTAAAATATGATTATTTGATTTTACATATCATTAATATTTAAAAAACTGATTTTATGACAAAATAATAAGTTATATAATATTTTCGTTAATGGAAAGATTTTTTTTGACATTGAAAATTAAAATTTAGAAAAATTTTGATATTTTTCAAAGTTACTCAAGGGACCAAACTAGTTTTTAACCTTTCTATTATAGTTCTCAAAGAATTCTTCGGTTGACTAAACCTCGAACTAGCTAAGTGAAGCATTTAAAGCAAGGATTATTAAATTCTTAACTTGCTGTTAAAAATACATATAGTTTTACCATCATATCATATGATTGATGATAATACTTTTATTAATTAAAATAGAAAAAACTATAAAAATGTCAAGAAATTAAAACAACCTTGCTATTTCTCATATCAAGGTACATAGAAAATGCCCAAACTTTAGAAAATTCATGACTGATCTACCATTATGAGATTCATCCTAAATGCCACAAAATGGATCTTTTCCTGGGCTCATGCTGCAACTTTAGGAACCTTGGCCAGTGACTCTTTTATTTTCTCTTCCTCAAATGACAAATCAATCATATCGCCTTGCAAATACTTCTCATATGATGTCAGGTCAAAATGTCCATGACCACACATTGCCGTCAGAATGACCTTTGATTCCCCGGTCTCTTTACAGCGGAGAGCTTCCCTGATGGTGGCAGCAATGGCATGAGTTGGCTCAGGTGCCGGGATTATTCCTTCTGTACGAGCAAATTGTATTGCACCTGTGAAGAAATGTTATAACACTTTGTTATCACCTAGCTTGCTGTATCACAAGATGAATAATACGTGAAACTTGGGATCCAATCAAGAGAAAGGTTTGATGTTGATACGAATGTCAATAATTGGTTTAAGTCCAGATAAAGGAAAGTAACCTTGGAAGCATTCTGTTTGAGGGAGTGAGATTGCTTCCATGAAACCGAGTTCATAAACGTGTGATATCAATGGTGCCATACCATGGTAACGCAAGCCTCCTGTCAGAGAGAGAATGCATAGTTGAAAAAGATGAAGAAGAGTTATAAGGTTCAACAAGTGTAGGCTTGTAAAATCAAGAATAGATTACCAGCATGAATTGGATCAGGAATGAAGTCATGGCCAAGTGTGTGCATCTTCATCAATGGAGTCATCCCTGCTGTGTCACCATAATCATATGCATAGACACCTTTTGTTAGAGAAGGACATGCTGCCGGTTCAACTGCTCTTATAACAGGGTTGATTTTCCCACTGAGCTTCTCTCTGATAAAAGGGAAACTAAGTCCAGCAAAATTGGACCCACCACCAGTACAGCCTATGATCAAGTCTGGTATTTCACCAATAGCCTCCATTTGTTTTAAGCACTCCTCTCCTATAACTGTTTGGTGTAGCAAAACATGGTTCAGAACGCTCCCTAGGCAGTACTTGGTATCCTCATTTGTGGCAGCAACCTCTACAGCTTCTGAGATAGCTATTCCTAAGCTTCCTGGGGTTGAGGGATCAGTTTGAAGGATTTTCCGACCTGCCTCAGTTATGCTAGATGGAGAAGGGTGCACTTTCGCACCCCATGTTTGCATCATTAGTCTACGATATGGTTTCTGATCAAAAGAGGCACGCACTTGCCACACCTACAAGAAAGTTCATAGTAAAAGGCTATTTAGCTATAGATGATTGAATTTTCAAAAGGAAATTAACTGCAGAACTTGTGCAACTCACTTTGTCCAGAGTACTCTCAGAAATCAAGAAGGAATGCAACTCAAATAAAATTCTAGCCATATCTTTAATGCACAAACAAGAACTTTGTTCAATCAACTATGCAACATATCTCAATTCATGCATATGCAATCAGTAGTAGACAGCAGCAGTTTTGAGCCATACAATAAATTAAACTTGTAGCAACCAATCTAATGCAGAAGCTGCTTTGATCAATCTATCATGTAATGACATAATTGTTATGAAAAATATTGGTATATCTTATTACTTCACAGCCAAGTCCAAATAAGCTGCAAGCAAAGGCCATTGAACTCCCCCACTGGCCAGCACCAGTTTCTGTCACAATATTCTTGATCCCTTGCTGTGCATTGTAGAAAGCTTGTGGAACTGCAGTGTTGGGCTTATGTGACCCAGCAGGGCTGACACCTTCATACTTATAGTAGATTCTTGCAGGTGTATCCAGAAGCTTCTCCAATCTCTTGGCTCTACAATTAACAAAATATATAAGGTACTTCTCAAGTAGCATAGGTAACCTGAAATATCCTGAAAGGCCTTCATTTTAGTAGAATATAGCTAACCTGATCAGAGGTGTTGGTCGCCAAAGCCTGTAAACATCAAGAATTTCATCTGGGATATCTATGAATCTCTCATTGCTTGCTTCCTGCTTTATCAACTCATCAGCAAATAGAGGAGACAAATCTTCGGGTTTGACAGGCTCAAAAGTTTTAGGATGCAAAGGAGGAGGCGGTTTTACTGGAAGATCTGCAATCAGATTGTACCACTGATGAGGAATCTCTATATTTGCTGTAGAATTAGCATTCAGAGTAGCCCTTGCTCTGACTTTATAGCCATTTGAAAACCGTAAATGCATTGGCTTTCTCTTTAGTGACAGGCATCCAAGCCATTGCTCCTCACCTGCAGGTGCAGAAGCTGTAGAAAAGCATAAAATAAAAGCAAAACCAGAACCATAAATACACTTATTGACATAACCAACAATGTAAAGGCCGCAGTTGATACTAAGAGGAAACTTCCTACCAGAACAATATCAATTTTCAGACATTCAATAATTAGCTTCAAATCCCTTTGAAGGGAGTTTATACATCAAAGATGCCACTAAGGGAACTGGAAAAGGCAGGTTTTAAGGCATCCAACCTAAAACTAATTAATTGGTAATGGGTGAAGCTGCCAAACTAGAATAATACAAAGCAAAAAAATTCCTCAAACTTAACCAAAGTGAAGAATTACCCACCACCTCAATAACAAGTATGATTTAAGAAACAAAAAGAAGAGAGAAGAAATATAAAGGTTTCATGACTAGAAAAAGAGGCATAGAAGTCAAGAGTGCAGAATTAGGAATGAATTAATGCAGAATTCTACTCATGCTGATATGTAATGTAATGGGATTCTACTTTCTGCAAAAGGGATGTTATATAACAGTATCATGGTCCTTTAATTGCAGAATTACAAATAAATGCTTCCAGAAGTCCAATTTCACTCATCAAAAAATATATTATTGATAGCCAATAATAATAATAATTTCTAAAACCTCTTCTATCTTAACCTGTGGCCCAGTTTCATTGCAATCAAACAAAATGAAGCAAGCAAAAGTAGACACTGTTCAACAAATCTTGTAGCAGCAACTTAGGGGTGTGGCTATGCCAAAAAATAATTGTGTTAATGTCACACAAATTAAATTGGCTTGGTTTGATTTAACCGTTAAAACAATTGATAATTAATAAAATAATTAGTATATATATTATTTAATAAATTAAAATCAATTTGTAAACTAATCTTTAGACACTAAAGTATAACCACTTTATTAAGAAAAAAAATCAATGAAACTAAACGTAATTTGTGTGTAAAATCACACCCGCAACTTGGAATTTCGTAAACAACAAAATCTGACATAAATCTACATCCAAAAAAAAAAAAGCGGGTTATTGAGGCAGGCGAGACCAAAACCCCCCACCCAATATCTAAAAACATAAAAACTCCATCATCCAACTAAGATCATAACAAAACCCCATGCTCAGAAAAGCATATCTAAAAATATATTACAAAAAAATAAAGCAGCCCTTTGGTATCAAGGTAAAGAAAGATGCAAGAAGTAGGATGGCAGCTCAACAAAGAGAGAAAAAAAGAGGGGAAAATTAAATAGTGACAAAGAAAAAAAAAAAAAGATATTACCTCTGACAAGACAGTTTGATGAGCATGAAATGGATTGAAAAGGTGATTGAACTACCATTTCTGAGAAAGGTATTGAGCTTCCTAGTTGTACTTTGTAATCTGCTGAGGTTTGGCAGTGTTGGGAGGGGGGAGGAAGAGTGGATTGTAAAAGAGTTGAAATGGCAGGAAACCAATTTTTTTTTTTTTAATCTTGTGTCCTGT